TATAGAAAAGGAAAAATATATGAGTATAATATATATACTGGGGAACGGATCCATTCCCATGTGGTAGCTGCGGGCGGCATCATTAGTCGTATTTTTCTCAATTTTGTTGGATTCACTTTGATTCACATTTTTGCTCCATTAATCAAAATTCGCGAAATTTTTGTCCACACGCATACATATAAGTATATAAATTATTGTACTATATATATTTTTAGATGATATAAATCTGTTATACACCAGACTCGTCCCATATTTCCCCATTTCCGCTTGTTTGCCGGCAAGTGTATCCACAGCTCGACTTGCCATTCAATAAACTTGACCCGCTTGTTTATTGTTTTTTCTTCTCGTTATTTGCTCGTGTTTGATTCTCATCCTTTGCTGGTTCGTCTTTCGACTGGGGCGTATTTTAAAAATAAATCATAAGGTCTATATATACACGCGTATATACAAATAAAATAAAAACATTGTTATAATTTGATTCGAATTGCATTGAGTTTTCAAATATTCTGCAGCTTGACACGCGCAGATATTCATTTCACTTTTGGGAGGACCCCTACTCTCATCTAGTCTCACCTAGCTACCTGCCCACATATTTACCTACACCTTATCCACCACCTACCCCTTAAGCTTTTGCCATTTAATTCGTTTACTTTGGGCCCTATCTTGAAATGTGAATTTTTTGGTGGAAACGTGAAAACACGTAAAATGTTCATTTTTCTTCATTTTTTGGCAATTGTGACTTTTATTATGGGTGTAAGTACTGTTACGTTCGCTCCATTTGCAAGGGGGACACATTTTACCTACGACACATTTTCGACTACATAATGAGCGAATTTATCGTGCGAGTTGCGAATGTTTTTCTATTTGAATCGCATTTTGCTTTATATGAGTAAATTTGCAACTATTTCTGGGTTGAGCTCTGAATGTTTCGTTTCGGTTTCTGAGGTTGCCTTAAATTGAAATTTATTTATGTGTATGACCGTGGGGCATGGGCAGGGCATAGGGCATAGCTAAATGTGCAGACGACACGTATGAAAAATTAAATAAAAGAATAAACAAAAAAAAAAAAAACAAAACATATTTTGTAATGCAAAATATTACATTATTATGTTGGTCGAGTTTGAGCGATAAGGAATTGTATAATAAATAATATGAACAAAATTCGTTTCCTTTTGTTTATTGTGTGGCTTATCGCAATGCAGTGGAAAAGGAAACCCCTCAATGATAGCGAATTCATTTTCGGGCTTTACCACAATGGAAAAGTGTAAACAGAAAAGTTTGCATTGCGCATAGATTGACGGAATGTTGTTGAAGAACTGGAATATATAACAAATAACATTTTAATATTTATATTATAATGGTGATGCAAAAATATTATTTTCATAAAATTTAATAAATTTTATATTTTCTGTACAAATTTTTGTATCTACCCTTGCATTTTCAATTATTTACGCTTCAGTTTGCCATCTAATTATATTGTATTTTCACGGCATATTTGCACTTAAAATATTGTCGTAAAATTGCTGCTAATGAAGCGATAACTTAAATACATTATTTCGATGATTATTATTATTATATGAGATCATGTCAATTATACATTCTATATTATTTCGATAATATAATTGCATAATGATATTTAAACAGGACTTGGCACTTTGGAGTTTCAATATACTTCTGTGTTATACAATATTATACGAGCGCTATATATGTATGTACGTATAAGATAATACATAGTGAGTTAGATATACTAGAAACGCGTACAAATTAATTAATTAAATTATTTACCCATCAAAATTTAATTATTAATTCTTAAACTTTTCTAGGCTCTATAATATACATACTCTCTATTCTAATAATATAATATAATATTATATTATCTTTTGGCACTGATCAGATACTAATTGGAAAATTTTTCTTTTTAATATGAGATAAATTTTTATTGCATTTAATCTCTTGCCAAAAGCAAATCCCTATAAATCTTCAGACTTTCAACAAGTTGATATCATTAATCTGCGCAATAAATAATAATTTATTTGTAATCGATTACATTTTGAACATTTACATAAATTTTGTAAAAGATTTATCGGCCTGAAACTCAAAGTAAAAATGCCGCGTGACCTTTGTAAATGCTTGAGCTAACTTTTATGGCACCTGCTTCCAAGAAGGCGAAAAAAAAGTAGAAAATCTCTAGAAACAATTGAAATTTGTTGCCGCTGGAGCCCCGCACCGGATGTTAATGTTATTTGGGGCATATTTTGTGGGGGCTTTCGATGTTTTTAATGTGCGTCTGATTTGTTTGGGAAAAAATAAACAATTGTGAAATTTATTTAGTTGCCAGCAGAAAAGCGCCCGCCACGCCCCCCACCCCTTGCTTGTACAGGTCGACTAGTTTTTGGCTGTGGAATGTGTGTCTATCTAATCATTGTTATTGTTGCGGCTCACTGTACTTGTTGCTGTTGTTCCTTTTGTTGTTGTTGCTGCTGCTGCTGCTGCTGCTAGTGTACTTTATGATCAAATAAATATGCATGGCAATTGCTTTGTGCCATAATTCGAGGAACTTTATGGGCGATTGGCATAGTTCATAGTGGAAAGTGGGCTGTGGATGAGCAACGAGGTGGAGGTGGTGGCAGGAGAGGGAGGGATAGTGAAAGGGGTTGCAAAGGTTAGAATGCTCTCTGCTCTTTAGGGGCTGCCACTGTGGCACAACAAAAGCTGTCAACTGGTTTTGCATATCTTTTGTGTATGTCCGTCTGTCTGTCCGTCCGTTTGTCGACCTTGAGGACAACAATCAATCAGCAGCGACAGCGGCAATGGCAGCGGCAACAGCAGCTGCTGCTCCCAGCTTAAAAGTCTTGCAATACTCGCCCTTTGTATGTAAACGTACTTATGTGTGTGTGTGTGTGTGTGTGTGTGTGACTGTAAATTTATTACAAAAAAAATGTGAATAAGAGTTGCTAAAATTGGATGAACGCGACTAGGAATTGCCTTAAAATAGAAAATAGTGACTCAAATGGAAGAAAAGTTTTGTAAGTGACTCGAGTAAGCCAAGCTTGATTAAGACAAGCATTTTAGAGGCTATTTTAAGTACAGAAGATCAAAATTGGAAAGTTGTTTCGGTGTTCTACATAACTATATTTAGACTTGAACATAATTTCTTTTAAATATATGTATGATCTATCATAACATATGTCTGTTATCATATACCAAATCCCACACACACTAATATACCCCAAATTTGTCATTCATATAGGGTACACTGTCTGAAATAAAAAAGTGCACAACACATATCCGTGAGATACGTCTTCTTTTTTGTATCTACGCATTTCACCTTGTCAATCAGCTGAAATTTGGGTCAGATATTTTCCATACATCTCATCTCTGGTTGCGTCCATTGAGTGTCATATGCGCTGATATACATACATATAGCATATACTATTCTATTCTATTTGGCTAGAATCATATATCATATATATCGTATATTCAATATTTTGCATTTGGCGCGTTAATCAAATTGTTGTCAAGTTGTTTGTAGCTATTTCTCACGTACGCTGATTCGAAACACATTAAAAATAAAATCATATATAAAAATTCTTGGCTGCAACTGTAATTTAAATTCAAAATAAGGCACACACATACACACCGACACACACGCGCAAGCAACCACACACACACACACACACGCTAAGACAGAATGAGAGACGGGCCAGCGACCAACAAACAAACAAACCAAATTGGCAATTTTTATTTGATTTCTGTCCGTTTTCGTCGCTGATTAGCCAGACGCGACGTCGCTGCTGGCGCCGGCATCGCTGTCGACGACGACACGCCTACTTTCAGCCACTTGTCGTTGACAACTCCCAAATGCGAAAACTATGCAAAAACTATTACCAAATGCCGCTTTTGTGCTGCGCTCTTGGCCCCCTCTCCCTCTCTCTCTCTGTCTCTTCTTCTTACTGCTTAATAGCAATGCCGCTTGTTTATTTAACTAATAAGAGAGACAGCACACAGCCAAGAGAGAGACAGAGGGAGACAGAGAGAGAGCGTCTCTTATCAAAACATGCAAACCGTACGGCAGCAGCCAGCAGCTTTTCCCCAAAACAATAACAAAATACACGAGGAGCGTAAGAGAGCAGAGAGCGAGAGCGAGATAGCGTGCGGAAACACGCGCTCGCAGCAGCTGCTCTCTCGAGAGCGGGCGAACGCAACGTGTGTGTGCAGCACGGCAAAAAAAAGCTCACGTATAACAGTTTACAGTTGCGTGGGGTGGGCGCGCATAAATTTGCAATTACAGTGGTGGCTACACGATTGGACATGGCTGCAAATAGTAGTGCCAATGAATTGTTTCTTATGTGAATAAATTAATATTTTACTTATATATGAATATTAAATGCTATTTTAATGTTAATTTCATTTTACGTAAGGGAATATCTGGATACATTTATAATATACATATTTATTTTTGTTCTTAAATATATTTTTTAAAAAAATTTATATTTTATTTCTTGTTACACATATTCACTTTATTCTTAAATTATTTATATTTATATTATTTCGTTTGTTTTTAATGATTTTAAATTTTATTTTAATTATTTTTTTTAATGTACGATATTATAAAATAAATTATTTCTATAAAATGAATATACAGCTTGCAATATTTTGGCTAATTTGGCTTTTCTGTCTATCCATGCCTGTTTTCGCAGTCCCCTTTATCTGGCTGCCTCTGTTCCTTTGTATAACAGTTTCTTTTTGGGCATTTTCGTTTATTTACAATTTGACATTTTGCAAGCACGCACACAAGCAAAGCAACTCACCTTCATACACACACACAAACACGCGCACACACTCAGCACACGCTGCTCCAACAAAGGTCGTCCTCTCTCTCTCTCTCTCTCTCTCTCTCTCTCTCTCTCTCTCTTGCTCACTCGTTCGCTCTCATCTCGTCGTATCTCTTGTTTAGCTGTGAAATTTTCATTTTCAGTTTCGCATTTTCGTTTTCCCAACAGACATTCGTCGCACGCCGAAGCGTTCGGTCGCGTTTTCAGTGAACTCCACAAAATCAGAGAACAAAAAAACATAAGAAAAACAAAAACAAAGTAAACTGAAAAGTCTTTCGCCTCACATGCACAGACTCCGAGAGTTCGAGTGTTTCGCGTGTGTGAGTGTGCGTATGTCTCGTGTGTGACTAACTTAGTAGATGTTGCTTAGACAGAGACAGTACTTAAATACTCAGTGCTGATGAGTTCCCAGGTGTAAATCAACCCACAGACCAAGCACTGTACACAGTTACTCAAATATATATATAACACATATATCAAGTGAGATCCGCGGGGAGTTCGAGCTCTGTGTTCGACGTCCATTAGGCAATCGTAACGGTAATTTGTTGTATCTTAAACTGGATCCCGTTTCCAGTACAAAATCTGTAATTGAAATTGATTCAACCAACGGCAAAGCCAAACTCGATTGCCATTTAAAAGTCAAAAACTTTCGCACAGGTAACCAAAATCTATAAAATAAAATCAAAATAAGCGAAACCATTCTGGAGGCATAAATTTTGCGTTCAAAGTGTTTTTTTAATTTGATTTCGTTGTCGTTGATCTCATCCATCACAAATCAAATCAAAATACAATTTCATTCAATTCAATTTACTTGTTCAACATTTTTCCACGGCGCACAGTGTGCCAAATGCTTGAAATGATATTGAAAAATTATTAGAAAAAGGAAGACAAGCTTAAATATATATTGGATATGGGATATAGGACTCGTACGATCGTATATAGATATGAACTTGTAGGTATTACTGTTAAGTACAAATTGGCTTTTGAATTATATAAAATTACTCTAAATATATTTTGAAATTATCTACTTTGAACTACTGTGCATTGTTGCCAAATGCGCTTGTTGTTGCTGCTAATGCTAATTGAAAATTGTGCCGAAAATTGTTTTTGGCTCTGGGCTAATTTTTGGCGCAGTCAAGAGAGAAGTATTTTTTTTTGTCTGTTCAGGCAATGTGTTGAAAAGTTTCAAGTTAGATATTTTTTCTGTCTGTGTCTAGCACACTGGGGCGGGGCAACGGAGGCTGGGGGCTGGTGGGGCCTGTGCTGGAGTGTCTAATAGTTGACTGTGCTGCTTGTTGCCCGTCGCCAGTCGCCGGTTGTACTTGAACTCGCAGAAGGCCGACGGCGCGAACGCGTGGCGAACTATCTGCGAGTATCTCACAGATACGCATATTGTATCTCAAGCTGTGAGGCAGGCATACGTTCCACAAGTGTTGACTGCAATGCCAGCGCAGTCAGCGGGGCAAGTGAAGTGCAGCAACAGCTAGGTGCATTTTCAATTATAATTTATTTAGTAATTGCATTTTTCGCACTTCCAGGAAAAATCGTTTAATATATCACTATTTTTCTGAGATGACAGACATATTCGATACTATTTATTTTCAGATACAGATTTATATATGTTTACTGTATCATATTTAATTTTAAAAAATATTTTATTGACGAAAGTTCTTCCAATGAAACTGCCGAATTTTCTTCTCATCTCTTGATTGGCATTTAATTTCCTGTTCGAAAACAAAAAGCTTTCAATCATATTTGATATTTGTTTACTTTGAACAATTTTGTTTTATGAAATATTGAATGTTCTGCATTTGACAAATCGTTTAAGTTCGATTCCGCTTTCAAATGATTTGATTTGATTTGTTTCTTTATTTCATTTCTTTATTTAGTATTATTGACTATTTTCTTTGGGGATTTCGTATAAGCAGATATATCTATTATATACATAGTACTCTGAACTACAATCCCATACTTGTTACTCAACCGACTTGCCACTCGAGAATACAGTTTGAGAGCCACTGTCTTCTTCATATTGTTTTACAGTCATCCACTTACCTCGTCACTTAGAGCATTTATAGAAGGCAAGCGCCTGCAGGTTTATGCTGCTCGCTTATTTAACATGACATGAGCTTTATTTAGCCAGCAGCGCTGCAGTTGCCACATGCCACAAGCCACATGCACACACGCTGCATGCCGCATGTCACATACCGTATGCTACATGCATTAATGTTGCAGTCAGCAGTAATCAGACTCGTTTGGTAGACATTAAAAAAGCCGCTAGTTTCAATCAGTCAAACGCAATTAAGATAAAAGGATTAAAACCGTGTGAAAGAGAGACAGAGTGGACAGAGGGAGAGCGGGACAAACAGAGAGAGAGAGAGAGAGAGGAAGAGATACAGCGAGAGCAAAGTAGATATGTATGTAAAGATATAATGCCAGCGGCAATTAGTATCCTGTCTCTGTCTCTGTTTCCGTCTCTTTTTCCCGCTCTATCAGTGTGAGTGTGTGTGTGTATACACAATGCAGCGCACATTTGGCTCATTATGCTGGTTAACCCGTTCCGTAAAGAGTTAACCCCTCAGTCAGCTCGCTCGCTGTCGCCGCTGCTGCTCATTAATTATTAAAGAACGACGCCAACGCGGCTGCAATATGAAAAAAGTTGCGCATACGCGGCGTAGGCCAAACTATGTTGCCCTTGTTGTTGTGGCTGTTATACACTTGTTGTTGTTTCAAGCGATGTTTGTTGCCCATGTTGTTGTCGTTGTTGTCTGCTGAACTCACACATACGCCAACACACACAACGATCTATCATTATAATGAAGCGTCAAATCTAATACGGGAATTTTCTAACTGCCTTCATTGCCATGTGGTTCCGCAGCTGTGGCTAAAAGAATCAGGAACTAAGGCAACGCCGAGGGGGTGCGGACTGGGGGGCAGGGGGGCGCTGGCGTTTAATGTGGGCGTGTGTGTGCGTGCGTGTATGAGTGTATCCGAGACTCGCCCTGTTAACGTTCTTGTGCCCTGATAACGTTGACAAACTAGATAAAAGCGCGATAAAAAAAATGAAAACAAAATTTACACAGAGATACAACAAACTCACAGCAGAAACAAAAAATAAAAAGTAAAACAAAACTGAGCTAAACTCAACTCAACTCAACTCAATGTTATAAATAAAACAAAGATGCGAGTCGACATTCGCTGCTTTTGCTTCTGTTTCTTTCTGTTGCTGCTGCTGCTGCTGCGGCTGCAAAAATAATGCTTGAATATTCCACGGATAGCCAAATAAGCTCTCTGAGGGGTTGGGTGAAAGGAATTTGCTATGAATATGAATGAGCTGACAGCAAACGGCAATTTTAATACCCTGTATGCATAAAAACGTGTTTGCCGGGAGTCATAAAGCAGTTAAAGGCATTCTCAAGCATGTTTTTGTTTTATTCTCAAACTGATCTGAGATAAAGTTTAAGCGAAACGTAGGAAATTTGTCAAGAGCGTTACATCAGCCAAAGAGGATTTGAAAAGTTGAGATTGGGGCATAAACAAAGCCATATCCAAGATAAGATGACTTACGCTTGTCGAGTGAATAGGACAAACGAATGTTAAATGAGCTGAAAAGCAAATAAATTTGTATTTCTTTTGTGAGCGACAGGATCTGCAATTGCTCAGCTATTCAATTGGAATGGTAAGGAGCTTCGAGTGGCCAAAGGGGAAAAAATACAAGATTTTTCCTTCTTCATTTTCATATGCTATTCAAACATTTCTAGAACATAAATAGTTTGGCAAACAAGAAAATATTTGAATGAAATAGAAAATAAATAAAGCTATTCATTTGTGGACAATATTTAAAAATAATATTTTGTACTAGAAAAGGAACTGAATTTGTATTAAAATAAATTGCATAAAATATATTGCTATAAAATTGAGAAAAAAAACTCGATCAGCTTATAGAAATTTGATCTTATCAATGCTAATTGAATGTGAATACAATAAAAGCTAATTGAGTTCATTATTCAATTTTTTCTGTAATCTGTTTAATGAGTCAAATTAACCGTAGAAACCACAATAAAAAAAGTCGCGTCGATTTTCTATGTTGATTAAATAAAGCTTAAGGCAAACTACAGTCGTCAACCCAAGCCTATGTATGGTATATGATATATATAATAGAATATAGAAATACAATATAACATATATTTAAATATAAATAATAATTTTACTTGATTTTTAAGAAATTTAAAATGAATATATACATATTGATAATTGTTATCAAAATATGGGCCAATGTATTTTTATATAAATTTAGTTTAAGGAAAATAAAATATTGCATCAAAAATCACATTTTCATATAAATTTAGTTATTGACATAAAATATTGATATACCGTGAATAAATAAATTATTTTCTGAATGAAAATACTTCAAACTTTGATTCTTCAACCTAGGGTATCTCGCAGTCGAATACGCGTCAATTCGAATGTATTTAATTGTTGCTATTGTGATAGCTGGCGTTAACGCGCGATAAGCTTAGCCACTACTGTGTCTCTGTCTCTGTCTCTTTCTTTGTGGTTGTGCTGGTGTGTCTGTATGTGTGTGTCTGTGTGTGCTTCTAATTAATTATTATTATTTTACATTGTTTCTGGCATTTTGAACTAATGCTGCGCTCAATTTATGAAAACCTCATTAGGTAAACAAGAATAATGTATATTATGATTGAAGTCGCCATTAAAGAGAGTGGCAGCTGTATATCTTAAATGAGCGCACACGCCTCATGCCACATGCATCACATTACGCATACGCAGTGTAGCGTGCAGCGTGTGGCATGTGGCATGTGTGGTTGCATTTTAATGCAAATCCAAACTAAACACACACACACACACAGCGCGAGCTGTTTGCTTTAGCCTGCTTGTGTGTGTGTGTTTGTGTTTGCTTAAATAATTATTTTTTTCTTGGTGCTAATGCAACGCTCATTTAGGACACGCAGCTGCCCACCCACCGCTGCCCCACAGCCTTTTTGTTCGGCACGCGTAATTAGCCTTAATGAAAAGCTGTCCGAGATTTATGGCCGCACAGTTTTGCCCCGTTTTGTTTATGGAGATTTTCACTCGCGCGGCTTTTCCTCTTTGCGTATCACGTGTCGCGCGTCGGTCGAGGCTCAAATTGGAAGCGTTTGACTCTTGATCTTTGCCAAAATGTCAAAATCGGTTTGACGCGTCAATGTTTGGGCTGTGGCAAATGAAATTAAATTTTAGGCCATCGCATTAAAGGTGGCATCTAATAGGGCCCCAGGCGTTGCTTGTGGTTTGTACTCGTTTAGCCAAATAATGAACTGGGAAATATTTTCGACAGCTTTGCGGCATCATATTTGACATATTTAAAGGTGAAAGTGTGAAATATTTGATGTAATCTATACGTTCACCTCTGAATTATCATTACATTATTATGCAACATAAATGTGGTTGAAATAGGATATAGATAGATAATTGATGTAAATTAGAATTGTTATTTTATAATTTTGGGATTTGTTTGTTTACTTGCCATTCTGTATATTTCTGTTTTTACTGTAGATTGACGTTTTTATTATTAATGTTTGTCTATGTTTGGCATTAATATGATTGTGAATAACACACTTTCTAAACAGAGATTTAAAGACATCAATTTAATAGCG